GATACTCGCATTGTTTTTCCTGCTGAATGCAGCGACTGTGGCTGACAGAGGAAATTAATTCTGTCAACATTAATTCATGATTTTACCGCCCCACTACTGATGCTCTCTCTCTCTCTCTCTCTCTCACACACACACACACACACGCGCGTTATTCTATTATGGTGGGGAAGTTCCACTGACACATACAGTATATATATATATATATATATTGAGCTAATGATTTGAATGCAAGTTATGGTCTATTCCCAAATTTTTTTTTGTTTACATGTTATTATTACCCTGTTTTTGTGGGGGCTGTTGGCTGGTCCCCAAAATTTAGGTGTTTTTACTATCCTTTTGGTGGCATTTGGTAAAGATATATCATACATTACTGAAATTGTAGTAATTTATTGTTATACATTACAAATTAGATGCTAAAAAAAACAGTAATTATAATCTAAGGAGAATCACCATTGATAAGGAAATTAAATAAATAAAACTACTGACTAACCCAAAACCTAAAATAGAGAGAGGGGGGGGGGGGACATTTATGAACCATTTAAAACATTTTTATGGAAGTCAGTTTGCGCCACAGAATAAGGAAAAAATAAGGAAATTGTGACTCTTTATTTAATATTTTATCTAACTTTTTTCCTTGCAATTCTGAGAAAAAGTTCAATTGTGAGCTAAAGTCTGAATGGTGAAATATAAATTCTAATTACTGCCAAACTGCCAGTTCTAAGAGAAAAAAGTCAGATTTACAAGATGTTAACTCGCAATTCTCAGAAGAACAATCAGAATTGTGAGATCAAAAGTCAGTTTTATTCTGTGGTGGAAAATCTCTTTCATAAGAATGTGTTAAATGATTAATGAATAAAGTAAATAATGTATCTCTTTCTCTCTCTCTCTCTCTCTTTCTCTCTCTTAGGTTTTAGGTTAGTCTGTAGTATTTTTGTTTTGATTTTCTTAAAAAAATAGCAAGATGTGAATTCAGAGAAATAGCAACTCAGAATTCAGAGAAAAATGTCAGGATTGTGAGATATAAACTCAGAATTGCAAGAAAGAAAGTCAGATTTCTGCCACAGAATTTTTGAAAAGAAGGAAAGAAAGAAAAAAACGATCTTATGCCCCATTGACAGTTAGGTTTAGGGGTGGTGTTAGTGGTGGACCTTCATGCTTACTTTATATATATATATGAATCATTCAATCAAATTCATATGAAATTTCCACCTAGTTAAGTAGTTACATTTTCTCATGAGATCAGGTTAAATCATTGTGCCATTGACGACGTCCCCAAAGAATGGTTTTGTCAGATTTAGCACACTTCTGGGGACGGCGTGTCCTCAGAAGATAATTTGACAAGCTGTAGTCCACACTGACTTCATTTTGTAGACATGTGAATGTGTGGTAGAGACTGAGGCGAAAGGTTTACTTCCAAAATAGACAGACGTGAAGAAATATGACTCGTGCAGATTATTTATGAGATTCAGTTGATCAACAGCGTCCCGCCAGTCAAAGACATGAGACAGTGTTCAGATTAATTTTGATTTGTTTGTGGTGAAGCAGTCAAGTGCACTTCCATAAGGGACATACTACATTCACCCATGTTAACGTTACATTCCCTATCTGTCTGCTAATCTATTGGCATACGTCTACAAAGTTATGAATATTGTAATGAACGTGTAGAATAATATTTAAGAAACATTGCCTGAAACCAAGTGTCTTGAAAACAAAATATAACACAATTTTAAGTAAAACACTGCAGTACATTGATTATGTGACATTTATTAGACTCAATGAGCTGCAGAAATATCATGAACTTGTTATTTTTTTAAACCTTCCTTTTGTGTCCTTGTTATTTTAATAACCATACAGTCTTTCAGTACAGCTGTATTAATTATTCAGCACTTCAGTTTTCAACACTTATATAAGTGTCGATATGATCAGACAGCTATAGCTATGATGCTTTTCAAATAAGCACAGCCAACAATATTCATAGTGTACAATATTAGGTTTATTATAAAGTTAGATTAAGAAACAAGTAAGAGCAGAGGACAAATGTAGAGGGGGAAAAAGAGAGAAAGAACAGGATTATTTTTATTTATTCTTTTTTTTTTGTCTAACTTTGTTCAAATGTTATATATTCACTACACTGTAAAAAGTTCAGTTGATTTCTTACATTTTTAAACAAATGTCCACAATTTACCAAATTGATTATAGTTTGTCAATTTAAGTCAATTTCAACTTAAATTACATTAAACTGCCTTTAAAAATAGAGTTGAACCTTATATTATGTAATGCTCATATCATTTTTTGCAGTTTGTGTCATAACATTGTTGAACGTGTCAAAAACAACACAGACCACTGAAAGACTACAGTCAGTCCAGTTGTTAAAACAGTATTTAGTACTGTAAAGTAGTAAAAGAGCCATTGGCAGGAAAGACACAGAAGTTTAATAACAAAAGCTTATGGTAATTCTCAAGTTTAATGTAAAATTTAAATTGAATGTAAAAATAACATTTTAAATTAAATATTAAAAAACAAACATAAAAATAAATATATATTTAAAAAAATTAAATATTATAGTGTAAACATAAATTGAAAAGAGCAATGTCAAATCCATCAAACACAGAGGTCAATACAAAGTTCAATGACCCATATTATACTCTTTTACTGTAAAAAGCTAGTTGGTATCTACGATTTATACACTGTAAGAATGATTTTTCAAATTTCACATTTAATTCAATGTTACTTGCCATTTCTTTGTATTTGTGAAATTTGTTAGCAATTTCTAAGTGAAAACTGTTTCAAAGTAAATTCTACACAAATACACACACACACACACACATATACAGTATATAGAGCATCATTTATGTTTGTAGTTCAAATTTAATACTCGTGTATATTCCAAATACATTTTTCTGTCACCATTTACTGTCATCATCATTATTTACTCACCCCAGTTGATCCAAACTTTCTTCATCTGCGGAACATAACAGAAAATATTTTGAAAAATGTTGGTATCCAAACAGTCGACAGCTATTGACTTCCATAGCATCGAAAAAACACTACGGAAGTCAATGGCTACCGGCAACTGTTTGGTTACCAACATTCTTCAAATATCTTCTTCTGTGTTCAGCAGATGAAAGAAATTCATACTGGCTTGGAACAACATGAGGGTGAGTAAATGATGACAAAATTTTCATTTTTGGGTGAACGATCCATTTAAGACCATGTACGAGCAACTTTAACAGTGATGCTTTGGTAAAGAAAACTAATAATGTTGAATATTCCTAGATCAAGGAAACAGACATCAGATAAAAACAATAATAATAAATAAACAAAAAAAAAACATTTAGCTGTAAATGGACATTTAACTGCTTCTACATATTGTACAACATATAATCAGATTAAATAATTTCTCGGTAATGGCCACGCAACGAAAAAAAAAGATTGCCTTGCAGTCAACGCCCCCTCCTACAGGATAAGTCATTGCATTGTCTTTAAATAGAGACTTAGGACATTATAATGTACCCTACTAGGAAAAGCATGCTTCCTTAATACTTACAAGAGTTAATATTTCATGCAACTTGAATCTAAAATGGCTATAGTCACAAACTCCCTGTAAGATATGGATTTCATTTATTCGTGACATACTCAGACATGTATAAGGCAGGAATTAATTATTCCTCGCCTTAAATTATCAATAAGCCGCACACGTCGATGGTAGCAGAGGGTGATCTATAGCCGCAGATGTCATATTACTGCCACCTTAGGATCATATGCTTGGAAATTATGCAAAACCGTAGAAAATAATAATAACCGCCATCCTACAAGATTAGCATGGTAATACAAATCACATACGCCTGGATGAAATTACATATTGACACTTCCTGCAGGTATTTGTATCCAACTCAAACATTTATCATCACTGAGGTAGAAAATACATCCATAACCGTGACCCAGAGGCTGATTGGAATGGAGATCCTCCTCAAGTGCTAATTTAATTAAACTGCTATCAACAGGAATAAGGAGACGTCTGATCATCGTCATGACAGTTAACTACAGTGTGATGTATTAGCATAATTAATCAAGAAAACCTGTTTTAAGGTCCCCATCGCAGCACTGGCAGGCCCCTTTTCTATTTATTAACTAGTTAGTTTGCTGGCGGCGCTCCACCGGCACCCCATTGCTCACAACTGTAACAGGATAATTTAGTTCTTCGAGTATTGTTAGATAGCACAGAGCCGAGCCGAAAGTGTCTTAGGAGAGGAATGGGGACATCGAGAGCGAAAGTGACGCTGTGTTCCTCGAGCATCCCGCGCCCAAGTCTGTTCATTAGGGTTTTTTGTTTTCTTCACTTTGGTGAAAGAGCGCCAGATGAGCTTTGTGAAGTTTAATTGTATTGCTGCTGCCTGATACAAAAGTGGCCCCCAAGTATTTGCACTATTATGCTTAAATTTAATTTATGAATGTCATCA